TGTCTGATGAATATATGCCCATGCAGTGAGGACCTCATTCGGCCCCTGTCTCACTGTATTAAGTGGGCTCTGTCTGTATGGCCTGTTCTTATTCATCAGCACTTCCAGATCCAACATGCCGCCTGCCATGTATCGATGTATGGCCAGTTTTTAAATGAATAGAGAGAGGTGTTTGGGAGATGGATTCAAAAGCTGCAGCTCCTCACCAGTCATATTCTTCCTTGGCCCTCTTGTGTCTTTAGATGCTATCTGTAAACTTAGGTGCTCCCACCCTCATCCATGGGGCTCAGTTGGTTGGACGTCATCCCGCAATGTGAAATGTTGCTGGTTTGGTTTCCAGCCAGGGCACTTGCCTGGGTTGCAGTTCGGTCCCTGGTTGAGGTGTGTACAAGAGGCAACCAATTGACGTTTCTCTCTCACATCAACATTTCTCTCCCTCTTTCTCCTTCCCTTCCCGTCTCTCTAAAAATAAATAAATAATATCTTTACAAAAGTGTAGCACCATTAAAGTGTAGTTTAAAGGAAAATACATGCTTCCAAGGCATAGAAGGTGGGGCTTGCTGTGCCTCCACATCACATCCATGCACTTGGGGTGTAGCGACACATCTTAGGTCTCTCAGCCCAAGTGCTATTAAACTGGCTCAAGCCAGTTAACGTCCTGGGGAGCCTATCACAGTAGAATTTACAGATGCAGAAAAAGTGGTTTGAAGGATTAGTAACTTGTCCAGGGTCACAAAACTGACAAATGGCGGGGTAGGTCTTGAAGTTAGGTCAGCTAATTGCAGAGCCTCAGCTCTTAACCTAGGTTCTAAGGTTTCTTCATGCAGGATTGCTGGGACTGACAGCTCTAAGTCAAGATTAGTCTGAGGGTTTATTCTGCATGTCAAGGGCAGCCCGTTATATTTCTGCACAATCTGTGTAGGTTAGACTTTGTTCAGGACTCCTGGACCATTTTTTTTCTGGTTCTCTTGGCACATTGTATTTGCTTTTTGTTTGCAGATGAGCAGCGCTTCGGTATTTACTCTAGAAAAAGTTAATAGGTTAGCTGTGATCAGGAGAGAGACCTCGATTGTAAAGAGCTCTTTTCTTGGACTGCCAAAAAGGAAGAAACTTGGGTGGAGGGAGTTGTTACTACCATCCTGTCTGAAGTTAAAATTCCAAGCAGAGAGATTACAGTTCTCCATTTTCATTTAGGTTTTATTTAATAATTCCCCATTCCCCAAAATTTCTAGATGGGTATTTAGAGAAAATGCTAGTTAGAGAAAAAGAAGGGGTGGGGAGAGTCCGTACTATTTGGAAATGTTGCAGCTTTATGCAGGAAATTTCTTATCTTTCTCCTTTGTCTTTTCTAATTGTTTTGAGATAGTTTTACTGTGGGTTTAGGATGTCCAAACCTAACCACCTCTAAACCAGAGACATGGAGGCAGAAGTTAGAAAACGGAGGGCTTGCTCAACCCTTTTTGTTAAAAGCAAAGGAGTACTAGATGCTGACAGACCTGTGCTCCAAACTTTTGATTCATATTGGTATTTTCCCTTTCTCAAGGTCTGTTGGTCTATTCCAGCCAACTTGCTGTTGAACTATGTACAGCCTTCTATTACTGCATATTCGTCATATCTCATCCCAATTAGATCATAAAGTTGGCCAAATGCCAAGAGATCCATAAATGGGAGATTTGGATCTGTCACTGATTTGGCTTGTGATTGGGGCAAATAATTTGGTTTTGGATTTTAGTGTTAATCTATTCTATAATAGAATGATGATCTTTTGTCTTGTGGGGCAACTTGAAAGTAAGTGTGAAAACTGTTCCTCTTAGCCCTGCCTGGTGTGGCTCAGTGGATTGAGCGCCAGCCTGTGAACCAAAGGATCCCCAGTTCAATTCCTAGTCAGGGCACATGCTTAGGTTGCAGGCCAGGTCCTCCGACATTATATTTTAATCTATTCTGTCTTCTTACATAGCAACATAACTGATATGTGAAATTTTACTATGTGTTTATACCTTAGTTATCAAATCATTTCTCTATTGATAGACTTTTGGGATATTTTTAAAATTTTATTGTTATAAATAATGCTGCTTCCAAAACCTGAGCACACGAGATGCAACCACACATTGATGCTTCTCTCCCTCTCTTTCTCCCTCCCTTCTCCTCTCTAAAAATAAATAAAATTTTTGTTTAGACAAGAACCTCTTAAAAAAAAAAAAGCTGTTCCTCCTAGATTTTTCAGGTCCATTTTACTTTGCACCATTTATCCACTGGCAGGCATGCTTTTGTAATTTTCAGTTTAGAACATGAGATTATCACACAAATGTGAAAAAGTGTGCTTTTTAGCTCTTTGTTTGGAAGGTGTTATAGGAATCAAACTTAACGGAGGATGGGGATACCAGGATGTGCCTCATGCTCCTGATGTTGTCACCAGGATCCTTAATTGGCAATGAACAAATAACATATATATCAAAGTACAGATATCCTCTCTTTTCACTGAAAATTTATCTTAAGATTTTAGGGCTAATACCTATAAGCTTTATTAAAGTGGCCCTCGTCTCACATATATAGACATTTATTATTAGCATTTCTATTTTTTCATCTTCTTTTCCCTATGCATGGGTTCTTCCCCTCTTTAAAAAAATTATTATTATGAAAATACTACATGATTGCATTTTTATCATAAGTGTTTTAAACTGTGGTAGAATTCAGAGCACAACATGAGTGAATATCACTCTTCCCATGACCTTCCACGGGGCCTGTGGGGGGATGTGCATACACACTTACACAACGGGGCTCATATTTTATCATACAACGGCTTCTTGTCTTCACGTACCCTAAACGAAGTATGTCTTAGGAAATCTTTTCACGTCAGGACATATAGGTCCAATTCATTTTCTTTCCTTAGTTGTTATTGTTGTTAATGGTTATATAATAATTCATTTTACCTAGTGTATCTGATCTTTAACTGCTCACCTATTGATGGACATTAATATTTTAGTTTTTATGCTTACATTGAAGCAATCCTGTACAAGTATGGAACTTTGTGCACATGTACAAGTGTTTCCTTTGGATAGCTGCCTGGAAGTGGAAATGCTGGCTCAAAGTGAAGGTCTATTTTTGTTTTAATGGATGCTGCCAAATAGTCTTCCCACAGGAATTCACCAATTTAAACTCTGCTAGTGATATTTAAGAGTGCTGTTTCCCTGATTTTATAAACACTATACAATGTCACTATTTTCATTTTTACCAGTCTGATAGGTAAAAAACAGTATGTAACTATTTTAGTTTGCATTCTTCTGGGTTGTGTCTCTGTAGATCCAGTTCTGTCTGATTTCTGCCTTTTAGGAATTGAATTCCTCAGTATATTGTCAGTTATTTGATGACACCTATTCTTATTTTCTTGGGCTGAGTCAATCTCAATCCTTCTGTCTGTCTGTCTGTCTGTCTGTCTATCTATGGGGTAGGGTGAGAATTATTTCTGTCACTTCATAGAACTTCAGATAGGAAATTGTGTATACTTACTTGAGCACTCAATCCACTATCCTGATAAATTTCCCTCATACATTTTTTTCTCTATAGAATTTATAATTTTTTCTCTGACATTATATTTTAATCTATTCTGTATTCTTACATAGCAACATAACTGATATGTGAAATTTTACTATGTGTTTATACCTTAGTTATCAAATCATTTCTCTATTGATAGACTTTTGGGATATTTTTAAAATTTTATTGTTATAAATAATGCTGCTTCCAAAACCTGAGCACAAAAGCTCTGAGCCCAGATGGTTTTAGTGGCGATTTTTTACAATTTAGTGCCCTGTGTGATTGATTCCTGATATAGAAATGGGTAGACACCTACCCAGCTGATTGTGATGAAAACCTAACATTAATACCATCCAATAGCAGTAACATAAAAAGTAAAACTTTAGACCAGGCTCACTTACGAATGCAGATGTGAAAATTGTAAATAAAATGCTCTCAAGTAGAATTCACTGATCTGGCCATTATGGAGAATGGCCAGATAAGGTTTTTGTTTTATTCCAGAAATGAAAGAATTGCTCAATATTAAGAAACCTATTGATAACTTTGTTAGTTGGTTAAACGTGGACAACTGATTATCTCCATAGATATAGAAAAATTAAACATATAAATTAAACAACTTTTTAAAATAACACTTTAAATAGGGAAAAAATATGATACTTCTTTTACATGTTACAAAATGCCTATCCCAAACCAGCTGCCAACAACATTAGAGGCATTCTCATTAAAAGCAAGTCCAAAACAAGACTACCCTCTACTACTTATAGTATTTTAGCAGCTCTGGCCAATGCAGTAAGGTATGAACAAAAATCGGAATTAAGGCTTTGAGGATTAAATAAGATGACATTTCAACCTTCCCAGTATAGTATTTTTATTCAAATAAGACACTGAAATTGTAAGTTCTGTTCTTAATTTATTATTACCAACAAGACATATTCACAAAGAAAAGACAGAATTGTCTCTTGCATCTTAATGCACATATCCTCATGCTTTTATGAATGTGGGTTCTTTGATCTGGGTCCTTGTGGTGGAATCGTCCTTATTATCTCTCTGGTCTGTGTGGAGTGTGCTCTCCAGCTTTTTACCAGCCTAGAGGTGAGTGCTCAATACCCATGGCTCATTGAGTGGTTTGGTTCAGTGACATTTCTGATGACCTTTCAATGAGCTCTTACAATCCTGGGAGTGTTCAGTGGCACCGGTCCCAGACTGAGCGATTTATGAAACTACAGATGAAAAGGGTGCAGAACACACCCTTACATGATGACTCTGGCGTTTTGACACTTGACTCCTTGCTCAGCAAGCCATTGTGTACTCTTGGTACTATGCATGTCTGTGGTAAATTGATGCTGCCCTTTATCAGAAGTTAGTGGAAGTAACCAAGTTGGTTAAACATCACGCAGGATTCTTTCCCAAGCAGCTAGGTGTCTCTAAATTTGGTTTGTGACTTCAGTCTTTTTTCGTTTTCTCTGCAGCATCTGGAGAGGGCCAAATGTGAACTGCGTTGACAGCACTGGGTACACCCCTCTGCACCATGCTGCTCTGAATGGCCATAAGTAAGTACTGATGTTCCTGCCCCGCCCGTCAGAACCGAGGTCTTCCGATGGTCTTTTTGGTTCCTAGAAAGGATTGCTAAGCTCTCACGCTGAGAAAAACAGACTAAACGCAGCTCATCTAGAATTCCAGAATCTCTCCTTAGTGTTTAGCAACTTCAACATCCTTCCCTACCTCACCCCTCAGAACCTTTAATCAAAGGCTAAGTTTTACCTTTTCTTCTGTGTGTCCTCTCCCCTCGGAAATGGTGCAGTGTCACACAGTCATCTGAATATGAAGACCAGATTTGGGGCAGCCAGGTCATAAGGCGACTAGATAATCTGTCAGGTAACTGGCCCCTTTGTAAGCTGAAAATAGAGTGAACGGTCATGAGAAACTTTCCTTCTGTTAAAGTAGTTATTTACTGCCTTTGAGCTTGCCATTTGTTCCTTATAAAATTAGCCTAATGGACAAAAAGAACCGTTTTTAAGGAAAGAAATACATGAGTAATAAGGCCTATTTAATTCTCTTAAGTACAGAGAGGTTATTGGGAATGGGATGGGATTTGTGTGGAAAGTTTTCTGAGGGTGTGCTCTCAGGGGTTTAGGAGAAGAAGGCATAGGTTTAAGTGATTGGCAGCTAAATGAGGGCCCTGCCAACCAAGTAAGGGGGAATATGAGGGCTCTGCCGGGGGGCAGGCATGGTTGTGGAATACAGTGGTAGATCTGCCAGGATGTGCGAGAGTGGAACCACAGTGTAACAGAATAGAGAGAGATTGAGGACTAATACCATATAAGATTAGCAGCAGAAGGTTAGTTTTTAGGGGGAGGGATTATTGGAACCATTTTAGATTTTTCTGAGCAAGGAGCAGGGCACTCACCACCTTGTGGTGTTTTATATTGTGCAATATTTGGCCCAGCCTAATGTGCCGAAAAGAGACAATGATTGCTACTTCTACATTAAACTTTTCTAAAATATATTGAATATGATCATCATGTCCTTTCTATAGCCATTTTAGACAAAGATAACAAGAAAAGCTCATATGTGGAGATCCCTGCCCCTCCCCCTTAAACAGTGGGGTAACCTGAATTAAAGTGAATCTTGAACTTAAAAGAGTAGCTTGTTAGCCAGGTTGATCTCCAGATGCTGTTTTTATTTACAGTGGGGATTTTCTTTGACCTCATGTGCATGGGGATAATTATACATTTGTATCTGCTTAATTAGTGGTGTTACCAAGAAGAAAGCAAAGTCCTTCTTCCCGGATGTATCAGATGATACCATATGTGTCTGGCTTACGTTTGCAAGAGCTTTAATTCTGCTCTGCCTGTCCACTTTCAGTTCTCACATCACTAAATTCTCTGAATAATGTGGTGAATAATGATGTTTGTCTTGCATGGCTTTTTGTGTAAATTCTATGCCTGTATGCTGTTTAAATATCACAAACAAGGAAACATTGCAAGAGGACCAGACTTTTTTTCAAAACAATGGAAAATGGATGGATTATCTAGAAAGACTAGATAAACAGGGAGGTGAAGAGTCATTGTAGTGTGACACAAGATGGTTCAGCCATATGTCAGCGACTGCATAAGTAGCTCATGGAATAAAAGAAAGAGGCAGGGCAGTGAGCTCAGGTAGATGTAGAGGAGCCAAATGAGGTAGTGGCTGTGAAAGTGCTTTGTGTTATACAAGTGTATAAAGAGCTGCTAGTAGGAAAAACTTCTGAGTTCTGCAAACTCATAATTGATTTTTGCTTTCTAGGGATGTGGTCGAGGTTCTTCTGAGGAATGATGCGCTGACCAACGTGGCTGATTCTAAAGGCTGTTACCCTCTGCACTTGGCAGCCTGGAAAGGAGATGCCCAGATAGTGCGGCTGCTTATCCACCAAGGGCCCTCACACACCAGAGTCAATGAACAGGTTGGGAGGAAAGGAAGCTTTCTTCCATTCAGCTATACCAAGACCTCGGCAACCCCATCACCATCTTGGTTCCATAGCTCAGATCTTAGGGAACCTGCTCTTCCATGCCTAGGAGTGGTTCCCCTCCTCCCAGCACCACTCCTCTTAGTGCATGAGAAAGATCTTACTCCATGAGTATGCATTTTATGTGCATTCAAATCATGCAGACATGGAATAATACTATAATAAAAATATAAATACTAATCTCGTGCAAAATTTGAAATAATGCAAATTATGCAAAATTTCAAGCTGGTGGGCTTAATTAATTGCAAACTGTGCTTATGCCATTGGCACTGCATTGCACCTTCAGCTGGTAGACAGAAGTCCTCCAGTGCATGTCGGCACCCTGTGAACAATGCTGTTGTTTTACACACATCAGAACTCTCAGAAGTGGAGAGACTCCAGCCAGTGCTGAAAGTGAGCTCCCAAAAATGGGAGTGGAAGTCAAGGGGGAGTCAGTGGAATGAAAATAATTTCCATGATGCCTTTTAATGTTAATTTAACAGTGACCATGCTTTGACAAAGCAGAGATAATTCTTAGAAAATAAGGCAGCATTTGAGTAAAAATACCTCACAGTAGCCAAAGACTTAGGTACTCCTCTTCATTTATTACTTTGGAAAAGTTATACTTGAATTATACATGCTCTAGACAAGCCTCTCAGTAATTACTCCTGTAGTTTGGATCTGAGGAGATGGGCTTTCTCCTATATGACAAGCCATTCTCCGGTCTTCCTTTCTGCTCAGAAATGAAGCAGATAACTTTCTTAGTTGCTTGAATGAAAGATGCTGCTTTTTCTCACTAAGTATAGGATTATTTTCCTAATGACTTTGCTGAGAGGAGATTGTTAAATTACCTGTGTAATTATATCAGGGTTATTCCTCAAAACATAGACCACTCTTGCAGAGTCCATCTGTCAGCAAGACCGTGGACCTTCTCAGTGAGCTGTTAAGAGCATGACTTTGATTCAGAGGAAGGCAGCTTCACTCTGAGGTGTGAGAAAATGAGAGCGGTTCTCTCAAATGTCCCAACTTAGAGATGGTGTGTGTATAGCTGTGGATCAGCTTCCCTCCCCTCTATTAGGCAGTATTTTTTGTATGGATAGGTGAGCAACAGACATTTAAGATCATCAATGAGGATGTTTGTTTTATAACATTAGGAATGAAAATGGTCTCTTTAGAATCTAAATGCAATTTACTCCTCCTGGCTAAAGTGACTTTAATTTATCTGGAGGAAATTTATAAGGAAGTTTGCCCGCCCCCCCCCCCAAAGATTTTATTTATTTATTTTTAGAGAGGGGAAGGGAGGGAGAAACGGAGGGAGAGAAACATCAGTGTGTGATTGCATCTCGTGTGCCCCCTCCTGGGGCCCTGGCCTACAACCCAGGCATGTGCCCTACACTGGGAATTGAACTGGTGACCCTTTAGTTTTCAGGCTGGCGCTCAATCAACTGAGCCACACCAGCCAGGGGAGGAAGTTTGCTCTTAGTAATACTCCTCAATGTTAAAATTAAACTAATTACCCATTAAAGTTCTTCCCATCTAAGAAATTTTCAGTAACCATTTCTAATCCTCTTTGCTCACTTTTGCCTTGGAACACAGCTGCTTGGATTATGGAGCCACTTGAGTATGCTAGCTTGCCCTGCTCACATCGCCTCCTGCCTGGAGTAGCCATCGATAGGTTGATAAGTGGGACACCAGCCCAATGCTTTGAGTACCTGGCAGGCAGGTCAGTGGGGCTGTGACAAGAGAGCTGCAATAGCTTGAAGAACCTAATGGATGTAGGTGGTAGTCCCAAGTACTAGTGATTTCTTTAATGTTTAATGACCATTACTGTGGTTTCATTTGGGTGCTTGGATAAGTGGGGTGATAAGTGCCAAGCCCTGGAGATTGTCTTCCTCATTAACTTCCTTTTGAGGCACCCAGAGGGCAGATCAGAGTTATTTGAGTGTTGGGTCTCCCTGGGGCTGTGCAATTGCTTTGATATATTTCATCCATTTTACCATCACATTTTCTTTTCCTCTCCTTTTTGTAGAATGCTCTTGAGATCAAAGAACTCAAAAAGTACGGCCCCTTTGACCCTTATATCAATGCCAAGGTGTGTACTTTGTTGTCAGGATTTCTCTGCATCATTTCTCCAAGCTGCGCTTTCTCTTTGGTCCTCTCTGGCTTCCACTTCTGCCCACTCAGGCTCCTCTCACCACCCTGACTGCTGTCTGCTTCAGTCCCTCCGCCTGTGGCTTGTCTGGGAATGGGAAAATGCAGCTGCAGTGGGTTTTGGTTTTGGTTTTGATTTTAAAATCCATACTAATTCTAAGGAGGTTGGGTGCTTTCCTGGAATGTCTGAAAAGCTTAGAAGTGGCAAAAATGGGGAGGAAAAATGGGACTATATTATGTGCATAACTTGCTATTATGATTTCTAAAATCATTTAAATTCAAAAAAGAAATGCAATTAAAAGATGTCAAAACAAATCGGCTTACTTTAAAAAGTAAGAAGCACAGAAAAAAATGATGTTTCACTTCCTGGATTAAAAAAGTTTAACCTGCTTTCTTTGTTTCTATTGAAGTGGAATCTGGTTTTCAGGAACCATTGTAGGGGGAGGTGTAGAAGTGTAGGAGAAGGGGCGTGGAGACCTCGGATCCGATGCTTGTGCCTCTCCTCCTCATTTCTGTTTGTGTATTTCTGCCTGGGACTTTAAAGCCTGGATTGCTTCTCCCCAGCCAGTAGCTTCTCTCTCTGCCTGGTCATTCTTGGCCATTGGAAGGGCTCTGAAACAGGACATGAAGTCCCAGAGCCAAGCAGGGCACTTGTGTTGGTTTCTTCCCTGTCAGGCCAATAGCTGTGATGACCAGACCAGCTGTCCTCACTACCCCGTGGTCTTGGCCTTTACCACAACTGGTGGTGCAGTATGTGGGTTGGGTGGTGGTGGTAGCCTCTTTCCTCAGCGCTCTCATCTGCTGTTTTTGATCTGAGTTTTCATTCCCAAGAGGTTTGCTTTTTGGTAACATTACGATGGTGCTTAGTTGAGTCATTGCATTGCTTACATTAGCTGCCTTTTTTTACTTGCTCCGAATACACAGCTCAGGGAAGGAAACATAAGGTGCTCCTGCAGATATGCTGTGTTTTTCTTTGACAAATAATGATTTAGCAAATAAAGTTTCTACAGGCTACACTCAGGCAGCCTCTGTGGAGGATTTTCTTCAGCGATTGGGCTTTCATGGTGGAGAAGCAGTTTGAGCTGGGATAGTGGAACACATTAGCTTTTGTTTTGGCACACCCTTAAAATTCTGCTTTCTGATCTTCAAAATAGGAAGATCCTGTATCTTAGTTTTCTTCTTCTTCTTTTTTTTTTTAAGTGGTATGGTAGAGTGGAGAACTCATAGGTCACCCATCTTTCAAGTCAGACCTGAATTTGAATACTGTGCTACCTCTTACTTGGTTTTGTTGACTTGAACAAGTTACTTACTTTCTCTGAGCCTGTTTCCTCTTCTGTAAAATGGGGTATACGATGTACTTTGCTGGATTGTTTTGGAGTTTTAAGTAAGTGAGCAACAGAAAGTAAAGATATCTGGTAACCAGTAATATTTTGATCCTAATTTAATTTTAATAAATTAATTATTTATTTTTATGGTATTTTTTTTCCGTTACCATTTGTCCCCCTACTACCTCCACCCACGAGATCCTAATTAAATTTAATTTACTTTTTCTTTTTTAAGATCCTAATTTTAAAAGGAAAGGGTATTTTGGAATTTGTTCTTTGTTGCTAGTAGGTGAAGCTTAATGAAACATTTCTCAGTTAGTCTCTTCAAAGTTTTGTTTGGGGGAAGCACCTTGAAGTGATTGTTCTCCCATTCCGTGGTTAGTTTAGTTAACTTATAAAGCTCTGATTAAAGAGTAAGGCTTTGGTTCTTGAAAGCATATTTTCCTATCCCTTGATTTTGCACACATAAAAGAAAATGGTCTAAGTGGAATAAAAACATACTTCTCTAGAAATATTGCCCTTTGCCTCCCCCTTTCTTCACCCCCAGGCAACTGAGGCAAAGGCATCAAAGGACAAAGCAGTTTTGGTTGTGTTAAGAACACCAACTCTTCTTAGACTGATTTGACTCTGGCACCCCTAGGTTTTATCCTGACACCATGGGTTTTAATTGACCTCGCATGTGTCTAGGAATTGTTTTGCTCTAGGACTTTTGCTGCTAAGTCATGTCAGGCACCCGTGGAAATGAAGTCTTAGATGCCTTTCTGGGAAGTGGAGGTAGTTTCATGAGCTTTTGTCTTCCTCCTCGACACAAGGAGTCTTTCCTTTTTCACAAGCAGCATAAATCAGTCCAAGTGTAAGTCATCCTTAGCTAAGATGGAACCATTGAAATTGTTTTCCCTTTTACAATAATTTTAACTTAGTCTGAGTGTCATAAGATGAACAACAGTCAAATTAGTTTTAGGGTAGATCTAGTTTTCTGTACACTTAAAAATAATTTAATCTTAGAGTTTGAAAAAATAATTTAATCTTAGAGTTTGAAGAGACCTCGAAGTTATCTACACTAGTTGTTTCCACATGCTATTCAGCTTGTCTGGTTGCGTTGGAATCACCAAGTTTTATAAAACTTCTTATTTTGAAAAAAATTCCAACTTACAAAAATTGTAAGAATAATGTAGTGAACTGCATTATGCTCTTCTCCTAGATTAACCAGTTGTTAACATTTTGTCACATTAGCATGAGAGCCCTCTGTCCTCTTTCCTTCCCCCTCAGTATATGTCACTGTTATTGTGGTTAATGATAAACTATTTGAAATTACATCATGGACATCAGGACCTTTAGCCCCCAAAACTTAAAAGTCTGTATCTTCTAAGAACAAGGACATTCACTTGTATAACACAGTACAATGATCAAATTCAGAAAGTTTATCATTGGTATAATACTGTCATTCAATATAGAATCCATGTTCAAATTTCACTAGTTGTCCTCAATAATGTCTTTAGAGTAATTTTTTTTCCCCCTGGTTCAGGATCCAACCCAGGATCACGCATAACCTGGAACAGTTCCTCAGCCTTTCTCAGTCTTTCATGACATTGACATTTTTGTACAGTATAGCCCTGTTTTGTTGACTTTCCATCAGTTTGAATTTGTTGATATTTCCTCAATTCAGGTTATACATTTTGGGCAGAGATGCCACAGGAGAAACACTGTATCCTTCCTTTTTAGTGTAGCACATCACAAGGCACATGATGGCAGTTTGTGTCACTTTTGATGATGATGGATGATTGCTTGCTTGAGTTGGTAAACGTTTTATTTTTTAATTTATTTTATTTTATTATTTTTTATTATAGCTGCCCATGATATCCTTGAGGATGTCCTCCCCTCCCCTTCCCTCCCCTCCCTTCCCCTTCCTCCCTTCTCCTTTGTTTTTTCTTTTGTAAGCTTTATCATCATAGTTTTCCTGGACTCTACCTTAGCAAGCCTGGGGTGGGACTTAGTATCACTTACTTTTAAGTTCGCATGTAATTCCAAAATGAGGCCACTTTGAGAACTGCTGATCCAAGCTAACTTTTCGCCCGGAGTAGGAATCTTTTTCTCTCACCAAAAGTTGGGCCATCTACCTGTTATTTTATTTGTGTGTTTGTTTCTCCTAGTAACAAACAGAATTACTGCTTGGCAGCCTCTTTTGGGATTCCACTGATTTTTGGTTTCTTATGCTTGCTTGACATCTGTCTTCCTAGACCTTCCATCTGTTGATCAGAGTTCTGCCTTCCAGAACGTTACAGAGTAAGTCTAACTCTTCTTCCACCTGATGGACTGCTGTTAGCATGCTTCTTCTGTATCTTCTAAATCTTGGTAGACCTGGTTTGTCCTTTTGTTCCAATTTTGGTATATTTTTGAGCCAATACTGTTGTTACTACAGAGAGCTGTAGCCCAGGTGTCCCTAACTTAGATACCTGTCAGCCGTGGACGAGAGTGCAGCTGGGCCGTCATCTCAGCCTTGGGAGCTGATGGTTTTGAATAGTTCCAAGAAGCAAAAGGCTGTGAAAGCGTTTCTGTATAGTTTTCTACTGCTTATACGGTGTGTGCATGTCTGTATAAACACATAAATATAATGGATTTACACATTGAATGGGGTCTCCAGATATAAAGGGTATGAAAGATCTTTTTATCTTAGAAATACGGACCATAGCAAGGAAAAATGAAAGTGGTTGCAAGGTGGTCAGGAATGGAGAGTTTGTGCAAAGGCTTTGGGGAAAATTTGAATATTTCATTTCAGTCCCTTTCCTCAGTCCAGATTCATAGTAATATGATTCTAGGGACCCTTGAGGTGTTGTGAGCACCTGCACTGCAATTTGGAAGGTATGGAGGAGAAGGATTCCAGGTGGTTAGAAGCTTGTGTCTCTCCCTTTCTTGTGGGTCCATGAATCAACATTTAATGACATCCTGCCTTGTTGGTTGTCAGGCTCAATGGGGAAACAGTTGTAATAGCTCATTGCCATGGTCTGTATTTAATAGTCGAGAGGAGGTCACCATAGATATAAACTCAAAATTATCATAGTTAATAGACCATGTCTGGCAAGACTGAAACATAAGTAAGATGCTTCCAGCACTGTGAATATTAGCATAACATTCTGAAGAGATGTGGTTAGGCCTTTTTAAAAAGATTTTGTGAGTAAGTTTATTAAGTGGGGGACAGTGAAACCAGGAAGGGCTTAGGGCAGAAGAAGCAACAGGAAAGCCTCGGTGGTGCTCTACTTTGGCTCCCTAGAAACATTATAGGAAAGGAGGAGCCAACATGGAGCTGCTGTTAGTTCACAGGGAAATGAAGGTCACAGTGACAGAAGTGAGCCAAGGAGGGGCTGCTGTCAGCTCACTGAACGGTCAGAGAAAAGGAGGCCCTGTAGACAGGGGCAGGGGTGAACTGGGTCGAGCTGCCACTGCCTGCTGCTCCCCCAGTGCAAGTCTGTGAGGACCCTTAGAGTTTAGGAGATGCATGTCTGAGGGGGAAGGAAGACGCAGATGTGTTCCTTAGAGAGCCCCCCTAATTAGGCCATTTTTAACAGGTGGGAAATTTGCCTGGCAGTCAACTTTGTGGTAGCTGTCCTAGCTCTGGCAAAAACAAAGAAATAGGGAAGACTTGTTTGCTTCTGGGTAGTTTAGAGTTTTACTGTTGTTCAACCCTTGTGGCATATTTTTTACAAAATCAAGGACAGATTATTCTGGATGTCGGGAGACAACTTGGATGTAAAAGAGACAACAGTATCTGCTTCAGAGTAATTAAGGTTTTCTGTACTAGAGTTTTAGTAAGAGTAAGGTGGCTTTCTTGGCCATTGCTGTCACGCCAATCTTGATATCTAAAACCCTGCTAATCTTCTTAGACTTCTTTGGGCTGCTTTTGACCCCAGGATTACTCCACAGGAACCTGCTCTGAGTTTTGTTGATGTAGCTATCTTGTCATCCTGAAAAAGGGAAGAGACAGCTCTTCTGGCTCAGGGAACTCATGCCATAGCCTCATAGTGTTTAGGCGTTCCAAATGGGTGTCCTAAATGGTGGGTTTGGCTCAGGGAAACCCACGGATTTGCTTCCTGCCCAGTATTTTGCCTTCCCTCCAGACTTTCAGGTTGCCGTGAAATTGCCCCTCCGGAGGCTGTTGCTAACTATCTGTGTCTGTGGCCAGTGAAGGCTGTGTGCACCTCTCAGCTGCTGCTGCTCTCCTGAGCCACGTCTGAGCTCAGTGCTGTGTCCTCTGTTAATCTGTGTGCATTTATCTTGCATGTGGCTCCTACTTACAACCTGTTTTGTCCTTACTTCATTTTTAAAATTTTCTTTGCTATCATTCTGGCCTTTTGGGGCCTCACTCCCAGCAGCTCTGGATCTTTCTGGTACACTCAGTGTAACCGGAAAAAATGATGCAGTCAAATGCCAGCTTAAAGCAGATGGGATCACGTGCATGTTACTTCTGACGTCATTAATTGAATTAAAGCAGTTGTGAAAACACTTAATTTTTACCTTTTGACTGCTGAAAGGTGCATAATATTGACTTGATGGACAGCTGTCTCCATAAACTTTGTTTCCCTACAGAAGCCTCCCTGGTGAATATAGGAATCTTAAAATCTTGTGGGGAAATTATTTTCATTAGTGCTTCTAAAAAAGAAAGGGGCATGGAAATCACTTTATTCTTGCTATAATTGTAAATTGTCAGTAGTAGTAAAAGAAAGAGCATCATTGGAATACTTTGCTTCTGATGGTCGAAAAAGCACAAACTTCTATTTTATCCCATGTTCTACTTTAGTTTGAACAAACTTGGCATTCCAGGACCATTGGGTTGTCAATTTGAATTGATGGCAATGTTACAATTTTGAATATTTTGCACCTTTCACACAAAACATTGCAGTGTCTGATTGAAACTTTCTCACATAAGAAACGCTTTCCTATGCTATGGATTCCGCATGCTTTGACTGGTGCAGGCTTCTGGAGTAGGTGTCGGCTAGCATTGGGGTCTCCTGTTCCTCTGTGACTGGCCGCAAGGGCCTCCGTCCCCTGGAAAATTTGGCTGTGGGCAGATATCTTGAGAGTGATTTTTGGTGCTCTGTTACTTTCATTGTTGGCTGATAGATTTGCATGCAAGAAGCTAAGCAGATGACAAACCCTTCAAAAAAGCTTGTGTGTGAGGCAATGGTTGGTCAACAAATCCAGAATCAGAGCCACGGGGTCAACTAAGTATAAATTGTAAAACCAGTTGAAGTTTAAAATGAATCAATGGCAGTGATATTATTGGCAGTCGTCTGTACCAGGGCTTACCAAGGCCTGCCACATCCCCTAGTTCGCTCTCTGGGCCACCTGGAGTCACCTCCTTCACAGCAGAGGAGACTGCAAATGCTTGGTGACTGCTCCCCGTCTTGCAGTAACCGGAGCAAGAAGCAGCTGGTCAGAGCAGTTGGACTTTTTCCCAGGGGAATATGTCTGGATTCTGACTGACTTCTATTAGTCCCCAAGTATTGCTGCTATTTTTCTCATTTAAATTTCAGTGGTTTTATATGTGATTGTCCCAGTCATATGCCAGTCTGCCAGTCACCTTTCTAATGTGATCTGCTTGTTAACTCTTTAGAACAACGACAACGAGACGGCCCTGCATTGTGCAGCACAGTATGGCCACACGGAGGTGGTGAAAGTCCTCTTAGAGGAGCTAACAGATCCCACGATGCGCAACAACAAATTTGAGACACCTCTGGACCTGGCCGCACTCTACGGGAGATTGGAGGTGGTGAAGATGCTCCTCAACGCGCACCCCAACCTCTTGAGCTGCAACACTAAGAAGCACACCCCTCTGCACCTGGCAGCCAGGAATGGCCACAGAGCCGTGGTTCAAGTGCTCCTGGAGGCTGGCATGGACAGCAACTACCAGGTAGCAGGCCGGTAGACCTCCCAGGCCAAGGGACTTAGTCATTTTGGAAAGGCACAAGTACCATGCTGTTGGGCTGCCTTACTGAGCACGTTTCCATCACATGTCAGATGCTTATATTTGTTGACTCATTTTACTGTGAAGCTTTAGAGAAAAACAAACTCCACAATTGAGTCTCTTGGTTTTTGTTTCTTTTCAGGGGTAATATATAGTCATTATACCCTGAAAAGATGTGATTTTGGACAAGCTCTTGAAATGAGAAAAATTTCATTATCTTCCTATCCATGTGTTCGAAGTGCCACCGTTTAGCATCTCCAGAGTCCCATCGACCTGATTTTGCCGAAAGGAGATTTAGCATTTCTCTTGGTTGTTTGCCTTCTCTGTTCAGATGAATGACCATTCCTTAGGCTTCACATTGACCAAACCACACTTGAAGTGAACGTGTGTTTCTCCCCTTGTACTTTTCTTCTTATTATTCCTTCCACCCAGGAAGGTAGAGTTTTGAGGCGTTTTACCCTTGGGTGGCTCTGAGAGTAACTGCTTTTGGTCATGTGTGGCCTGCTGGTGGCTCACCAGATGCCCTGGATGTGCAGTCCCTGGTTGTGGTTTTGGAATTCAGACACGAAAAATGGGAAAGATAATGACGGAGGACTTTGTGTGGCGTATTTTATTTTCCTGTCCCTTCTGGTCTTTGTCCCATTTGTCGTGTGTGGCCACACCAGACCTCGGTCACTGTTCTGATGACATCCTGCTCTGCGCTCTCGTTTGCTTTCCAGACGGAGAAGGGCAGTGCTTTGCATGAGGCTGCTTTGTTTGGCAAGACCGATGTGGTGCAAATCCTGCTGGCTGCAGGTGAGAGGTTGGCAGCGCTCTTGTCTACACAGCATGCAGGGTTGGGATTGTCTCCCCTAGTCTCCCCGGAGAGGTATTTTTGCTAGCTGCATTTGAACCCAATGTATATATGTCTCCACTGATTGATTCCAAGGGTGCAAATTGTTCATGAGTAGCCGGATTAAGTGGCTTTGGATGAAAAATGTTGGGCGTGCTGCTAGGAGCATTAGGTATCCTGGAATTGGACCCTCTTGAGGCTGACTTGAAAATGCTCACTCCGCCCGCCCACCTGATTGCCTTTCTAGGAATTGATGTCAACATAAAAGACAACCGTGGACTGACTGCCCTAGACACTGTCCGGGAACTGCCCTCTCAGAAGAGCCAGCAGATAGCAGCACTTATCGAAGGTATCAGTCTACCTCCCTGCTGGGGGAACAGAGGGCACCCTGGCCAGACCAAGGCATTTGTGTTTGGTGCAGCTTTTTTTCCCCCCCTTATAGATCACATGACTGGGAAAAGAAGTGCAAAAGAGGGAGATAAAACTCCCACACCCCAGCCACCTGTCATCTGCAATGCAGACTCCATATCCCAGAAGTCTCAGGGTAAGACGGCTCTTCTCTAAAGGGGCTCTCAGCTTGAAGAGTTGAACATTCTCTGCCAGAATAGAAAATCTTAATTTAAGTAACAATTTCAGGGAGTTAGGAGTACTTAAGCTCATATTTGAATTAATTTTTTTCCAGTGACTATACAGAGCTTTAGTGGACACAGCTTCAGCCTTTGACAGCTGGCTTCTTCTTTTCTTCTTTATCTTATTCTCTATTTTCACAGTTGACTGTATGGGATTTGGGATGTGTAGTGGGTAGGATAATCTCTGAATGAATTCAAGTCTCAACGAAACCTTTTTCTAACACACTGGTTTCTTGAACATAGTCAGCTCTTAAGCATAGTAAATGTTTAGTAAGTGTTGTGTGGTTGGTAGATGTGTCCATGCAGGTGTGGGTGCTGTTTATATCATTTGGCCAGTAAATGTGGTCTGGGTGCCAGTGTGGGCAGTGCAGCCTCCTTTGCCGCCAGGACCCATCTTTTCACAATTACCGAGCAGCCTTTTTTGGGTCCTAAGTATGATGAATGAGAAAGACAAAATACTGACACCTTCCGCAGACACAAATTGTAATAAAGAAGGCTAGAGGAATAGAACAGAGCTGGACACGGAACAGGGAAAGGGATTTCTCAGAGCTAAAGGGTGCTCAGCCTGTCCTCACTGTGGAGTCCTTGGCTTTCTTTCCTCCCATCACACTTTTTTTCTGACTTCACAATCTACTGGTAATGGGATTGGTAGTTCACTGAGATCTTACCTTTGGGATTTCACAGGTATAACTTTGACTTTTTGCAAGCGACCCAGAGACCCCTGGTCTCTAACGGTTGGTCACAGGTTTGGGGCCCAGGTCCACTGCGGTTCAGAGTTACCTAGTGAGTGAGCCTGGCAGGTGCACGTGCCGCCACCTCAGAAAGGCTTGCTATCCTCCTCAAACACATAGGGGTTCTTAATAAGAATTTAAAGAGTTACCTAAGTTTTTTTAGTTATACTTTGCTGCCTTTTATGGTTTAAGTTTATGTTATCATGATATTGGGGTATTTGGGCATTTTGAGGGTCTTGGGAGGTACCCCTCATAGATGTCAAGGGCTTTCCATACTGAATTAGAGAAAAGTCTGTTCACTTCTCAGGGTATAAGAGCAGCTGAAGCACTATTTTCCTGTTCATGAAGCAGAAGCAGTCATTCATTTTTCTCTGGGTTAGTGTTTGTCTGGGTTACTGAGCAGGTTTTGGGTTGTCGCAGAAGCTGGGAATCTGAGTTGTGCTCTTTCATTGACTCTCTTGCCCTCTAACCTCCTTTTCAGGTGACGTGGAGAAAGCGGTGACTGAATTGATCGTCGATTTTGACACAAACACTGAAGAGGAGGGCCCCTATGAGGCGCTGTACAATGCCGCCTCCTGCCAGTCCTTGGACAGCATGGCCAGCGGGCGATCCTCAGACCGGGACTCCGTCAGCAGGGAGGCCGAGGCCACAGTGGTGAAAGCTGCTGGAGTGAGGCCTGTATGTGGCGCGGGGCCCTCAGCCACCTGGAGCTTCTGTTGTCCTCCAGGCATCTGGGAGTGCTGGGGAGAGGGTGTGAGTCCTCACACCAGCTCACACGTCAGAGGCCTGTACCCCATTCCCCCATCCTGGGGCTCTGCCACGCCTCCATCTTACTTAGTATGCTCTTACTCTACACAGGTTATATTGAGGGAGAATTTTGGTGGTTCCGATTTCAATGTAATCCTTTTGCATCTTTTTATTACTCTTTGGCCTTAGAGCAAATTAAGGCATTTTAATTCTTTTTAGCCTTGAGCTGTCTCTGTGTTTGGGGTCTTTGCTATATAGCTTATTTTCTTTCTGGAAAGCAGTTTTGATGGTGGAAAAGCTCACTGAAATAAGTTCCTGTCCACCCCTGAGTACATGCTCACCTTCCATTTGCCCTCAAAGAATTATCCATTTGGACTTGGACAGATTTCTGTGTTCAGCAGGGTTGCGGCAAGGTTTAATTAGACATCACACGGCTTAGCATGGGGTATTTCTGTTTTTCCCAGTTGTAACCCCTCCGGCCATTGAAATAGTAGGATGAGGACAGCTCTGAATTTTTCCTTCTCAAGACCCGCCTTCCTGTCTTACTGCTTCTTTGTCTGCTGTTTGCTTCTACCTCTGGCCTCGTACATTATTCTCCTTCTTATTCCATTTTATTCCTGGGGTTTTAAGGTAGAACCTAAGCCTGACCCAGCAGTCCTGCGACCTACTCCCTGCATTGCCAGACACAGTAATTTGAGGTTTTGAGCCCTGGGTTTTTACAAAACTGGCCATTACTCTAACAGGATCCCAGTGCTAATCCCACCTTGAGGCATATTTTCAAGTGTATATTATTTCTTCCTGCTGGAGAGGCTGGCTTTTCTCTTGTGGTCTGCATCTGGCTTATTACCTTTTCGACGATCCTTTGGCTGCTAGGTGATGCTTGGGCTTCTCTGGTATGCCCTGAGAGTGACCTGATATTTCTCGGTGTTCTTTTGTGTTAGGCTCCTCACCCTGCCCTGGAACAGACCCCGCATTTCAGTATGGATTTTGGAAAGGCCGGCCAGTCTGCAGGAGCCCACAGAGAGGGTGTGATCAGGGACTGGTAAAACCTGTGCGTGGTGAAGGCCGATGCCTGTGTTGAGCACCACCAGCATAGTAGCTGTATAGACAAAGCTAGGGGGTTATTTTTGTTTGTTTGTTTCACTTTTTCACTGTGAGGTACAAATAAATTAATCCACCTGTGGAGGGAGGCTTTGCTTTAAGTAGTACTTACAGATGATGCCCATTAGAGGGAGCTGGAGGCTTTGCAAGAAGAGCACAGGGTTCTTGAAGGAAGCCTTGAATAACCAAGTTCCTGTGGGGCTTGGCCACCGATTTATAGTCTCTTTGTTCCATCCCCCTCTTGAAATCCAGCCTCCTATAGCCCTTTTAAATAGACACTAATGCATTTAGGGTGCATGCTTTGCCATTTTCATTTGAGTCTGTTATGGCTGTGGCACCTTCCTGTCCTTTAGTAATTAACTGTGGCTATAGGACTGTTCTGCATCTCATAAACAGAATGGCAGGTGTGTATAAATCAGCTCTGTACTTCCAGGCCCCAGGCCAAAGCTTCGACATTAGGTGATCATGCTTCTCTTTCCTGCCAGTGTCCCTGGTGATCACTTCTCCACAAGAGGCTTTCATACTGTTCTTTCTAGGCTCCTTTAGGATGCGAAGCCTAGGACAGGTCCTTTGCTGTTGTATTTCATTTTACTTTTCTCAGCTCTTTGCGTTCCAAGGCTGGGTAACTAATGTAGATGATTATGGGTCTGCTGCTTTTGTATCCCTCCCTTACAAGGTGGGACCTTGGGAGCAAAGAAAGGTGAGGAAGTGGGACTTAGTGGAAATCTCATCTAAATTGCTTTGTTTGGCTTTGAAGTTGTTGCCATTGGGTATCCATCTGTATCCAGGGTCTATGGGAATGACCAATTTACCAAGATATAATACCAAGCAGTGAAGCAGGTTTTGATAGAGATCACAGATGCCAATTGCTGACTAATCCTGACAGATCCTGATATACGAGAACCATCTTTCCCTGCAGATTTTTCTGAGGCTCTCACATAGTTCAACATTCTCCTCTGCCCTGATGTAAATGTTCCTGTTCTCACAGTGAACTCACCTGCCAGCCAGTGGATGCACCTGCACCCGACTCCTCTTTCAGGTTCCCACTGCCTTCCCTGTAGGAACATTGATTTTCAAGCTCTGGAATAGAAACAATGTTGAAAGTACTACTGATACAATGGCAAACCCCTCTTTAGCTTTCTTTCACCAAAGACCATTCTGTATATTCCTCAAATTGTTTGCCTATGATCTCACTAATCCCCTCTTCAGTGAGTGTCTTGCTCCAGGGCAAACTAGGTCCACAAACAGCTGCCTCTTTTTGCAAATAAAGTTTTATTGGAACACAGCCATGTTCACTCGTTTACTATTCATATTTTCTATGGCTGCATTTGTACCACAGTGGCAAGTTGACTGCAAAGCCTAAAATATTTCCTTTATGGCCCTTTGAAAAAAAGCTTGCCAACCTTTCTCTGGGACAGAAAACTGACAAATATTATTTTTAAAAATAGACAAAGATGGAATAGGGTTTTCAAATGCTAATGATACATAATAGAAGTCGTTGAAGGAGGTGGCTGAGTATCAAAGACCCATCTGAACTTTTGCTGATAAATGGGGATGGTATCAGAGTGAGAGCAGGAATGGATATTTTTTTTCCTGGATTACTTTCCTCTTTTCTTCCTTAATGACTTTGGTTTGTTAGAACTCTGACAAGTTGATTCTCTTGACTTGCTGTTTCCTTTTAGAGTGGACTGGAAGTCCAGCCACAGATTTAATTACATAGAGTTTTATGTATCAGTATTATGAAGGACATGTTCTCACAGGGCAGTTCTGTGTTTTCAGTGCTGATTTTTCTCACTATGGTTAACGATAGGAAATAGGTATTTATATTCTCTGCTATAAACTTCAAAAAGCAAAGAGCATGCTAATCGAAGTATGTTTGTGCACCGGGTTCTCTATCTGTGCAGTTATCTGTACAGAGTTAATCTTGAGTTTGGTCTTGTGGGGAAGTGCTTCACATTATTCTTTTTCATTTCAAGGGCTAAGATAAGAGTAAACCTACCCTGGGTGGTGTATCTGAATGGGTTGACTGCTGGCCTGTGAACCAAAAGGTTGCCTGTTCGGTTCCCAGTCAGGACACATGCCTGGGTTGTGGGCCAGGTTCCTGACTGGGGATGTGTGAAGGGCAACATGTTTCTCTCACACATCAGTGTTTCTCTCCCTCTCTTTCTACCTCCGTTCCCCTCTCTCTAAAAAAAAAACAAAAATCTTAAAAAAAAAAAAAAAAAAAGTAAACCAGAAAGATACTTGAAAAAAGAGCTAGATAAATGCTTCTTTTTCTCTTCTACAGAGGGAGCGTCCACCGCCTCCAGCAAAACCCCCACCGGATGATGAAGAGGAAGACCACATAGATAAAAAGCATTTTCCACTGACAGCTTCTGAGGTAGAGGGTTAAGGGTTTATTCTCATCTCTGAAATATGATTATTGGAAAGTGCATCAGTGTGTGTTTGAAGAAGACTTTGCTTTCTCATTTCTTATCACCTCTTTGGATTACTGAATTTATCTTGTGTAATTAGTAATCTGGAACAAGACCTTTCAAACTCACTCAAGAGTACTAAGCAAAGAATTTTGGTGGCACTCTCTAATAGACAGGCCAGTCATTACTCCACCTTGCCTTGAGCAAAGCAAAGCATGTATGTTTTCTCCTGCTCCAGTGGGCTAACCTGGCTTACTTTTTGTTTTTGTATCTGCGTTGTCTTTTGATATAAAATCTAGAGTATCATCTGGTCATTGTTCCCTGGACTATGTCATATTGGTTGGCTTTAGTGGCTTGTCCCAAACACCTTATTTCTGCTTTTGCATTTTGTCTCCTCACTTCACATGAAGAGTCTGCACCAGGACCAATGAGGAGAATGTGCAGAATGTGACAGGACTCAGTTAGGAGAGAAATGGGAGTAGTGTGTGCATGTTGGGGATCAAAGAAGGTGATTTTAAAAGAATAGTCTACATTTTTACTTATTTATAATTATTTTTTAAAATACTTTTATTGACTGAGAGAGAGAGGTTGGGTGGGCAGGCAGAGGGAGAGAGAGAAAGAAACATCAATCGGTTGCCTCCCATATGCACCCTGACCAAGAATCAATCAAATCTACAACCGTTTAGTGTATGGAACGCCACTCCAACCACCTGAGCCACTGAGCCACACTGGCAAGGGCTATTTATTTATTTTATTGATTGATTTTTAGAGAGAGAGGGAGGGAGAGAGAGAAACAGTGCTTTGTTGCCCCACTTATTTATGCATTCATTGGTTGATTCTTTTATGTGCCCTGATTGGGGAATCAAACCAGCAATGTTGGTGTATTGGGATGATGCTCTAACCAACTGAGCTATCTGGGCAGGGCTAGTCCACCTTTTTAAGAAAGAAATGTCAGCCCTAGCTGATGGTGCTCAGTGGGTTGAGCACCAGCTTGTGAACCAAAAGGTTGCCAGTTTGATTCCTGGTCAGGGCACATGCCTGGGTTGTGGGCCAGGTCCCCTGCTGGGGATATGCAAGAGGCAACTGATCAATGTTTCTCTCACACATAGATATTTCTCTCCCTTTCTTTCTCCTTCCCTTCCCCTAGCTCTAAAAATAAATGGAGAAAGTCTGTAAAAAAAAAAATGTTATCATGCGGCAAATAGTTCAATCTTCTCACTAGGTCTATGAAGAAAAATCCTATTTTCCTTGATCTTTCATCTTCAAAATGTTCCTTTAACACTTCCTACCATTTAGAGAATGTTTGAGTATTTATTTAAAGTATTACATAATTTCAATAGTTTATTTTATAGTTCATTCAATGCCCTATTGTTCTTAAATTTAAATGTCAGCTACTATAAACTAATCAGAGAAGTCTCATTACCTTATCTCTAGATGTAGGAGTTAATGTTTTTTATAGTATTGCTGTGGACCACCCAGTGAAATGGGATTTTTTAAATCAATTGTAAACATATAGACCAGAAGGATGGCTTTAGTTTAACAAAATGTTTAAATACAAGGAGGCCATTTATGAATGTAAGTCATTGTTGGAGATAGGAGACAATTTCTATGTTGCATATGAATTCTGTCCATATTTCTTTCTATCCATTAATTACAAAATGCTTATTATCACGTCTCAACCCCTTTATAGTTACAGCCTCTAGGGTGATAATACTTTGGATCAAGTACAGGTAGTAAACCCCTACATGTTTTTATGTAGAGGTTTCCTTCATTACTCCCTTTTTATAAGGAGAACCCTGGTAACAAGGAGCATATTCCATTGGGGCTGGGTCTCTGTAACTGTCTTTTTTTAAATTTCTCTTTTAAAAAATTATATTTTATTAATTTTTCCCCTTTTTCCCCCTTCCAACCAGCACCCCCACTGCCTCAGGCAACCCCTACACTTTTGTTAATGTCCATGGGTCATGTGTGTAAGTTCTTGGGTTTCTTCATTTCCTACACTGTACTTTATATCTCCATGATTATTCTGTAACTACTAATTTGTGCTCCTTAAACCCTTTATCTTTTCACCTATTCTCCTAGTCCTCCCTGCCATCTGGCAGTCATCAAACTGTTCTCTGTATCTGTGATTCTGTTAAGTTGTGCTTGTTTGCTTAGTTTGTTGCTTAGCTTCAGTTGTTGATAGTTATGTATTTATTGCTCTTTTATTGTTCATAGTTTTGATCTTTTCTTCCTTAAAGAAGTCCCTTTAACATTTCATACAATAATTGTTTGATGGTGAACTCCTTTAGTTTTTTCTTGTATGGGAAGCTCTTTATCTGCCATTTGATTGTAAATGATAGCTTTGCTGGATAGAGTAACCTAGGTTGTAGATCCTTCCTTCTCATGACTTTGAACATTTCTTGTCAGTGCCTTCTAGCCTGCAAAGTTTATTTTGAGAAATCAGCTGACAGCCTTATGGGAACTCCCTTGTAGGTAACTCTGCTTTTCTTATGCTGCTTTTAAGATTCTCTCTTCATCTTTAACCTTTGGCATTTTAATTATGATGTGTCTTGGAGTGGGCCTCTTTGCATCCATCTTTTTTGGGACTCTCTGTGCTTCTTGAACTTGTATGTCCATTCCCTTCACCAAATTAGGGAAGTTTTCTTTTATTATTTTTTCAAATAGATTTCCAATTTATTGCTCTTTCTCTTGTCCTTCTGGTACCCCTATTATGTGAATGTTGGAACACTTGAAGTTGTCCCAGAGGCTCCTTATCCTCATTTTTTTGGATTCTTTTTTCTTCTTGCTATTCTGGTTCATTGTTTTTTTGCTTCTCCATGTTCCAAATCATCAGTTTGGTTTTTAGCTTCATCCACTCTACTGTTGTTTCCCTGTAAATTGTTCTTTATTTCAATTAGCATATCCTTCGTTTCTGACTGGATCTTTTTATGCTGTTGAGATCCACACTAAGTTCCTGGAGCATCGTTATAACCAGTAATTTGAACTCTGCATCTGAAAGATTATCTCCATTTTGTTTAGTTCTTTTCCTGGAGTTCTGATCTGTTCTTTCCTTTGGGCCACGTTTCTTTGTCTCCTTACGTTGGCAGCCTCTCTGTGTTTGTTCCTATGTATTAGCTAGAGTTGCTATGACTCCCTGCCTAGGTAGCATGGTCTAATATAGTAGGTGTCCTATGGGGTCCAGTGGTATAGCCTCCCCTATCACCCAAGCTGGGTACTCAAAGTCTGTTCTCTGTGTGGGTTGAGTACACTCTCCTCTTGTAGCTGAGCCTTGATTACTGTTGGCAGGTCAATGGGAGGGATTTACCCAGGCCAGTCAGCGGCAAGGACTGGCTGTGACCACTGATCACCAACCTCTGCCCTTGTAGGAGGATGAGAGGATCGGCTGTGCAGGGGCACACTCCACAGAGCAGGGCTTACGTCAGCAGGGCCCTGGTGCCCAGTAGTGTTCTGTCTGGGGTCACTTGGCATAAGCTATAAAGTGATCTGCAGCTGACTGCTTCTTGTACTAGGCTTGGAGGTACCCTAGTGAGGCCAGGCTGTGAACCAAGGCCAGCTGCTGCTAGTGTTGGTCTTGGGGCCACTTTTCAAGGTATGCAGCCTTGCTGAGGCCAGCTGCTGCTTGTTTGAGAGGATTTAGGAAGATCAGAAGCATGAGCCAAGACAAGTCATGTGTATGGAAAAGCCACTGTTAACCACCTGGATGGGCTGGTAAATTGGGTGGGACAGGCTCAAGGAATCACCAGGGCAAACAGTGTGAACCAGGTTGATGGAGTCTCAGATAATGATGCCCACCACGCTCTGTGGATCTGTGCAGAGAGGGCCGGGGAGAGGAGCAATGGCCTCTGCCAGCAGTCTGTCTTGGAAAGAGGTGTTCCCCAGCTCTCGCCTGATGGCAGACATTTCGCTCCTCCCTGTATACCACTGGTGCCTTTCAAGCTGATGCCCCAGTGCTAGAGCTCAGCAGGAGTGGGTCTGAGTAAGTCTGTGAAGGCCCTTTAAGAGAAACTGCATGTGAATCCAGCACTTTCTCCCACCGACTCGGTCTCCATTGGTTTTTACAGCCAGAAGCCTCAGAGACTTATCTTCCCAACACAGGAACCCTGGGCTGGGGGGCCTGGTGTGGGGCTGCGACCCCTCACTCCCAAGATATTCCTCCCAATTTTTATCCACCACACATGGGTGTAGGACCAGCCTGTTTGCATCTCCACGTCTCCGCATCTTCGCCCCTCTTAACAGTCTGGGTGGGCATGGTTCTTCTTCAATTCCATTGTAGCAGGACCTCCGTTCAAGTCAGTTTCTGCCAGTTATGAGAGATGGTTCTTCTATCGTTTAGTGGTAATTTTGATGTGGTTGTGCAAGGAGGCAAGCTGTGTTTACCTCGGCCACCATCTTGGAGATCCTCTGAAAACTTTTAAATTTCTGCTATTTCCCAATGTCTCCTGGTTCTGGCTTGTCTGAAGTGGCCCCAAGACTGCTTTACCCACGAGATGGTTATACTCTCTCTGGCTGAGGCTGTGCCAGAGGGAAAGACATGGTTGCTCTGCTCCTTGCCCAGGCACTGCCTGGACTCTACTGCAATTGTCTTGTGCCACCTTTTTAACAAGGTCATGGACTAAAATTCCCAATGCCCAAGGATAAGGGCAAGGCTCTTAAAGAGGTAGTGAAAAATCAAGACTTTCTCTTTTCACAAGACTTTCTAAAGCAGACAATTTGGCAATAATACAGTGTCAAGAGGTAAGGGAGACATTTCCACATTACTCTCTGGATGGGCGATTCCATCTGAGATACAATCTAGGACTTGCTTTGGAATAGTCTGGAATTCTGGATCAGCTGAACCACTAGAGTCAGTATTTGGAAGACTGCGCAAACCCTGGTGTTGTTTACTTAGTGGTAATTATATGTACACGAATGTAGTCTGGTCTGGGTCATTAACCTTTTAATGATCAAGGCAGATTCTGTTTGCTATAGTCTGAATGGATAGGCCTTCTCCAAAAGTGGACTTCTTTGTTTTACTGTAGTCTCTACCATCTTTATCTTTTTTAAAAAAAAAGATTTTATTTATTTTTAGAGGAGAAGGGAGGGAGAAAGAGAGGGAGAGAAACATTGATGTGTGAGAGATGCATCTACTGGTTGCCTTTCCCACGCACCTAATTGGGGGACCTGGCCTACAACCCAGGCCTGTGCACTGATTGGGAATTTAACTGGCGATCTTTTGGTTCACATGCCAAATGTCCACAGGCTGGTGCTCAATGCACTGAGCCACATCAACCCGAGCACCATCTTTATTTCTTGTACTCTCAAAACTTTACTACCCAAAACATCATCTCCTTGGACGCAGTGACTTCATCACAGTTTAGACTTGTATTTGGCCAGCAATCTTCACCAATGCTGGTGTCCTGTTCCTGAGGCTTGTCATTGCCAGATGACCCATGGCAGCCTTTTAGGGAACCTAAGTATACGTGACTCCAAGCTTATCAGAGCAATGAGCAGATCATGAAAATGAGCATTCGAACACACACACGTGCAGCACACTATGTAGACGAGCTGCCAGCTGCACTGGGCTGACCATGCACTTCTCTCCACTCAGATGTGCTGAATATTCATGGCAAGCTGCAGCTGCTGTGTTATCTCTTCCCAGAAAGCTGCTCACACCTCAACCGGCCATTCCATTGGTCACAGTTTGGTGGCAGTAGCTTTTCTCTACAACAAAAATGTTGCTTTCCATATAGCAGAGAACATATGATTGGGGGGTTGGGGGTGGGGGGGCGGGCTTTGATTTATTGCCAGCCCTGGAAGAAGGGGGGAAAGATTAAGGAGTAATTTAGTAAAGAAGAGGATTCTTTCAGTTGAAAATCAGTTATTGCCACATTCACTGTGACACAGGGCTTCTTGAGTGAGAGCTAGGAACGTTTGAAGAAGAGCAGCTTAATGCTTTAGCATGAGATTTTAATCTCATTGCTGGCAGAGGCCAGGACAAAGCAAAAAAAAATATTACCCTACGAGTTGTCTGAGTAGAAGTAGGAGACTCTCAGACATCTGAAGGAGGAAAGAGTTCCCAATTGGATGGAGAAATCATGCCTCCCAGGAAAAAGTGAGGCCAGTTTGTCCAGAATCTGAGGAAGTGAATTTCACGGCCCTGGCTCTCCTGGGAGCTCTCTGCATAACCTTGGGCAAGTCCCTAGACCTCTCTGGGAACCGGGATTTGTCATCTGCACAATGAAAGAGCTGGAACCAGGTGCTCTCTAGCAGTTACTGACGGTTCTGGCACCTTCCAGCTCTGAAATTGACTGGTTCTCTGCCCCCAGCAGTCGTGCACAAAGCCAGGCGGGGAGTGAATGCAGACCTGTGGGCCGATTTCCAGATGGAAGACATCAGCCTGTCCTGCTTCAGAACGAAGGCTATTACTGGCCTGGCACCCAGGCCCTCAGATCCGTCTGAGAGGCGTGCCTGGGGCTGTGTGAGAGCCTTGCTGTGTGCAGGATGCTCATAGAATCAGACTCCAAGGGTGCTGTGCTGCCCAAGTGATAGTAGGGGTGTGCAAACCTGCAGGACACAGACTCCCGTCTGTAAAGTCTCTGGTATTAAGTTGACACTGAATGAACTGTTTAATGGCCCCTCTTTCTTCCCTTAATTGTATTCCTATGAAGGGGCAAAAGAAAAAGTAATACAGGCAAATGGCTCATTGTAATGAAATAGCTTTTAGCTTCCAGGTGGCTTTCAGTAAGTGGAGGTTCCTGCTGTGCTTCACAGAATTTTGGAAAGAGACTCCCATTCTGCCTTGTTAACAAACAGGAGCAGCAGGCTCATTTCATCTGAGATTGTGGGAATCCTTGCTGTCTCCGTCTCATTAGTCATAACACGGCGTGTTGTGCCTCCAAGAAACAAAGCCGTGGTGAATCACAAACCTGATTCGTTTCCAGAGAGCTGTGGGACATGTCGGTGAAGGCGGAGGTTTCTGTGTGTGCCCAAGAATCCCATTTTTAAGGAACTACTGTTTGTAAGGTGGATTGGGAATTCCCCCTCTCCCCTTTTTTGTTAATATATCACCTGTCCTAGCGAAGAGACTTCGTGCTTTGTTTGCTCTCCTACGAGCTGGTATATGACAGTTCTTAATTTGCCTGTGGAACCGTTGGATTCTTAGGACAGGTGAACTGGAATTACCCCCAGAAGCCAGGGTCTCCATTCTCTCTCTTTCAGGGTGGCTATAGCACCAATCCTGGTGTCTCTGGCTTGGTTTGAGCTTGGCTACTCTGGCGCCACGACTAGCTGGCCACCCGGCCTACAGCTGCTTAGATTAGTTGGCAGGTGCAGGACCAGCTCTAGTCCAGTTCCTTAGTCAGAGACACTTGGTGGCTTGGACTTCCCAGCAGGCAGAGCTGCTTTTTCTCCACTGAAGTACACACTGCCTAGCCACTCAGCTGTTTCCAGAACAGAGATTGGTGGAATTAATTTAAAATTGTATTATCATAAGTGTGGTAGGAAGCCAGCTTTGGGGAAATTCTTCCTTAGAACCCCCAGGATCTATGAAGGAAGACTCACAGAGAAGTCATTTTGATTCCAGCTGCAGATGGTGGGAAAGATTCCAACCTTTGGGTAACCCTTGTGCATATTAGGAAAGAAACATGGAAAAAGAAGCTCTCGCTGCACTGCTTGGAAGTGTCATCCATGGAGGAGAGATCATGTAGGACACATTGGAGATGGGAGAGGCAAGGGGAGGGAGGATCTTGAATTTTATTTATGGCTTTTGAAAGATGAAATGAGGTAAGGAAAGGGTAGTGTTTATTTTTTTAAAAAATTTATTTCTTAAAGAAAAGGGAAGAGAGGAAAAGAGAAAGGGAGAGAAACATCAGTGTGCGAGGGAAACATTGATAGGTTGCCTCTTGTATTCCCCCAACTGGGGACCCGGCCCACAACCCAGGCATTTGCCCTGGCTGGGAATCAAACCATTGACCGCTCAGTTTAGGGGCCGGAGCACAGCCCACTGAGCCACACTAGCCAGGGCAGGAAGGGAGGATAGTGTTTTAATCAAAGGCTATTGTGATTTGAGGTTCAGGTGCATATCTGCAAAAGCAGCTGTGGTCCTATAGGATGCTGGGAATCATTTACCTTCTTTTTCCTTCCGATGAAAAAGGAACCAATAATCTCAAATTTGTTCAGCATAACCTGTTTTGGTTGTAGCCACCTACATGAACAGTCCTGTGGTGTTTTCTCTCTTAGGCCTTGGCCATGAGAGCCCAGATTCAGGGGAGTGCAGCCAGAGAAGAGGATGAGCATCCTTATGAGCTGTTGCTAACAGCAGAAACAAAGAAACTGGCAGCAGTGGATGGAAAACCAAAAGGTACGTATCTCCTCTTTCACCCTCCCCCCAACAGAAACAACTCCAAAAGGATTTGTAAAGTTTGTGATCCTAGGTGGAAGGAGATGATGCTGCTCCTGGCAGTCTGGGTGGTGTGTGTATTATGGCCTTTCATTTTCAGTACAGGCATTGTTGGAGTGGTTTGCCACCTTTCCGCACACGAAGCAAGGAAAAGGTTAGGTCAGGCTAGGCGTGAACAGTGAAAGAAGAGACTGCCAGTGTGGTGGCAGAGATTGACTTGGGCTCTCAAGTCATAAACCCTCAAGTTAATGCTGTGGAAAAACAAGTCCAAGTCAGCCCCCTTGGGTACGGTCTGACGGAACAGACTCCGCTTCGGAGTCCCAACCTCGGAGTGAGGCACTCTGGGGAGGGGCCCTGATTGGCTGCCGCCAGGTAACTAGAGTGCTCTGTCGCCTTGGCCTACTTTCACTGCTGCTGCGCATTTAACTTCCTGTGTGAGGAGTGTGTGCTGTGGGGCTGGGACCCTGCCAGGCAATATAACACGGTCACAACAGAGGTGAGTGTGCCCTGCCGGGTGATGTGTGACCATCTCTTCTGATAAGGACTAACAGGAAGGGCAGGGCACTTCCCACTACACCAAGGGAACTCTGGCCTCTCCTCCGCTCTGTAGCTTGCAGGGACAAGGTCCTTCACAGGGCATCATCCGTGCCGCCGCCAATCCTGACAGTCCATGGTTCAGGTAAGAATGGGGGATGCAGCAGTTTCTTTCTGAGTACCCCTTGCAAGGCCTCTCAGACGGTGGGGGTGGCAAAGAGAACGTGTGCGTATGTGGAGAACATTGTGGATCTTAATTTTAAAGGGCCTGTTTAAAAGGTTTTTCTTGCATACAGAAATGTTGTGGGTTTTTAATTTTGCTTTGTTTTGTTTTTTGATTTCCATTTGGAGCTTTTTAAAAAAGATTATCATTTAGATACAGTAAAATTCACCCTTTTGTGTACAGTTCTGTAAATTTTGACAAATAAAGTCATGTAAGTGCTACTATATTCAAGATACGGAGCAGTTTAATCACACCAAAAAATTCTGTATCCCTTTGTAGTCACTGCTGCCCCCTTCCCTTACTCCTGGCAGTCACTGCTCTGATGTCTGTCCCAATAACTTTGCCGTTTCTAAAATGTCATATAAATGGAAGCACACAGTATGAACCCTTTGAGTCTGTCCCCTTTCACTTAGCAGGATTCATTAGTGATTCATCCTTGTTGTTGCACATACCAGTAATTTGTTCCTTTTCCTTGCGAAGTGATATTCCTTTGTGTGGATGTACCACAGCGTATCTATTCACGAGTTGAGAAACATTTGCTTTATTTATAGTTTGGGGCAATTACAAAGAAAGCAATTACAAAGAAAGCAATTACAAATATTTGCATACGGATTTTTGTGTTAACATAGCTAATATTTCTCTTGGGTAAACGCTAGGAATGAGATGACTGGATCCTAGGTAAATATGTTTAACTTTATAAGAAACTGCCAAAACATTTCCCAGAATGGTCGTACCATTTTGCATTCCCACCAGCAGATGTTAATGTTTCCTTCCCAGTGCTTAATATTGCCAGGTTTAAAATGTTTTTAGTCATTCTTTTTTTTTTTTAAGATTTTATTTGTTTATTTTTAGAGAGAGAAAGGGAGGAGAAAGAGGGAGAGAAATATTGGTTGCCTCTTGCATGCCCCCTGCTGGGAACCTGGCCTGCAACCCAGGCACGTGCCCTGACCGGGAATCTAACCAGCCACTGGCAACCTTTTGGTTCCCAGGCCAGCACTCAGTCCACTGAGCCGCACCAGCCAGTGCTGTTTAGCCATTCTTATAGGTGTATAGTGGTATTTCATTGTGGGCTTAATTTGCAGTGTCCTAAAGACTAATGATTTTGAGCATCTATTAATGTAATTATTTACCATCCTATATGTAAAAGAGTATCTGTTCAAATCTTTTGCTCATTTTCAAAAATTGGGTTTTTTAAATTATTGAGTTGTAAGTGTTCTTTATATATTTTGGACAAAAGTTATTTATCAGTTATATGATTTTTCTCCTAGTTTGTGATTTATCTTTTTATTCCCTGAAGGGCATCTTTTGAAGAGCAAAGGTTTTTAATTTTGATGAAGTTTAATTTATTCTTTTTTTAATAGATAAGGTCACACATTTTTTTTCCTATATTATTTTTAGAAATTTTATAGCTTTTGGTATTACATTAGCTCTATGATCCAGTAATTATTGTGCATGGTGTGATGTATGGGTGGAGATTCTCTCTCTATTTATTTTTTTTAATATCGTTTGAGCACATTTGTTGAAAAGATTATCCTTTCTCCATGGAATTACATTTACCATTTCGTTATTCTATCTCAGAATTGTTTCAGATATCCTAGTTCCTTTATCTTTCTCTTCAGAAATTGAGAATCAGCTTGTTGATTTGTTGATTTTTACAAAAAGTCCTGCTGGAATTTTTACTGAGATTGTGTTGAATGTATGTAGCACTGGAAAGAACTGATATCTTAGTATATTGAATCTTCCAATCATGTGGTAGCTATTTAATTAAAACATTTAGAGAACTAGAGCACCCATGCCTTCTGTAACTTTTTAGTAATAAATCCATACTGAAATTAACCCTTAACAAGTAGTTAATTTAATGCTCTGTTTGAAAGTAGTCCTTAGTGAGGGAAGAATCACTAGCATCATGGAGCAGGAAGATTTCAGTTCTTTCTCTCTTTCGAAGGCTTGAATCTGGATACAACAAGATAGTGGGCTCAACCTTTGGAAGGAAGAAAAAGGGAAATGCAGATGAACTTTATAAATGGGGGTAGTCTCCATGGCAGCCAAGTGCCCTTCAGAGGCATTTTCTATCCCCAGATCAAGAGATCTCCAGATTAAGGAGGGAACTGCCCAGAAGGGCAGACCTCATGTCTCATCCTCCTGTGCTTTGGTTTTGTCAGCCACACAGTGCTGGGCTAACAGTGGACAGTGGGTGGAGTGTGCCTGCCTCCAGGCTAGCGGCTTGGATTGCTCAGCTTTCAGACTGAGGAGGTGAGACAGTAAATGTGAAAGTAGACCCTGCCAGTTTCTCAGTAGCCTGGAAGGAATGCCTGCTAGGTCTAGTAAAAGTGAAGCATATCATTATGTAGCTTTTAGAAATTAATTTATCTGTTTTCAAAAGGCCATGTTAAAGAGACTACCAGAGCTTTCAGCCTTCCTTACTGTGATTCAAGAAACTACAATGTGAGGAGTGGGATAGGAGATTTTTTTTTAATTGCATTTTAAAATTACATTTGTATTATGGCACAGTGGAAAAAATTTGAAAAAATACAGAAGTGAATACAAATAAAATGCTCAGGTTCTTCTCACCTGTCTGCTATTCATAGTGACCAGAAGTGACCACAGTTTGACAGTGTGGTTGTTTGCTTCAGGCCATTTGGTATCTTTATATAGAAGTGACTGTGTGAGATTGTTTTGTTTTTAACTTAAAACTGGATCATATTTTACAAGCTGTGTTGCAGACTTGCTTTTTTTTTTTTTTACCTTGTCTGTAAATTATGGGTACAATTTTGTCTTAGTTCTTTAAAATCTATCTTATTCTTTTAAAATGGTTGTTAAATATCTCATGACTCATTTTTCCATTCTCCAGTTGATGGATGTTTAAGTTGCCTCTAGTATTTCTCTGTGATAAATTATGCTGCTGTGTACATTCCGTATCCATATTCTTACATGCTTATAAGAGTATTTCTTAAAAGACATTGATAGAAAGTAGAATTAGCTAGTCAGAGTGTAGATGCATTTCTAGATCTAATTGGTGGAGCTAAATTACCTTCCTTTAATGGTGAATGAGCACACACTCTTCCCCATACCTTCTCTAGCACATTATTATTCTCTAATTTTTTCACCATGATAAGCAAAAAAGAAAAAAAGAAAAAAAAAGTGGGTTTTTAAAAAAATTTTTTAAAGATTTTATTTATCTTATTTTTAGAGACAGAGAAAGAGAGGGAGAGAAACATCAATGTGTGGTTGCCTCTCATGCACGCCCTGCTGGGGACCTGGCCTGCAACCCAGGCATGTGCCATGACTGGGAATCGAACTGGTAACCCTTTGCTTCTCAGGATGGCACTCAATCCACTGAGCCACACCAGCCAAAGCAAAAAAAAGTATTTTTTTGAAATTGGCATTTGAATGATTAGTGAAATTAAGCTTGTTGGTTAGTGTTATATATTTAGTCTTATGAGTTGCTTTTTTTTTTCTTCTGTCTTTCTGTTTAGAAAATATTGGTAGTGGAAACATTTCATATAAATATTGATAGTATTTTGCCAAAGTACTACTCAGAGGAAAGTTTATACCCTTAAATAACCTTTGTTAAAAAACCAGAAAGATTAAAACTTAACCAAAAGAAAGTAGCAGGGAGTAATTACTAAAAATAAAAGCAAATAGGATACTTCACATACTATATGGTATGCAAGTTACACCTCAGTTAAATAAAGAAAAAAAATAAAAGCACATAGTGACATTTAAAAAATGCAATAGGTTTGATCACTGCAATGAAAACTTGTTTGATTTTTAAAAGATAATCTGACAATTCTGATCAAGAAAATAGAAATCAACATAGTAGAATAATAAAAGACTGTATATAATCACAAACTCAGACATTTTAAAATACTGTATAAATGTTTTACACAAATGTAAGAGTATGTAGAAGCAACATATAAATAGTTAAAAACTCTACAATATATATAATTTTAGAGAGAGGGGAAGGTAGGGAGAAGGAGAAAAACATCGATGTGTGACAGAAACATCAGTCGGCACATGCCCTAACCGGGGACCAGGCCTCCAACCCAGCCATGTGTCCTGACTAGGAATCAAACCTGCGACCTCTCAGTTTATGGGATGATGCCCAACCAACTGAGCCATACCAGCCACGGCTGTACAGTAAATTTTTAAAGCACTTTTTTGAAACAAAAAAATTAATAGAGAATTATATGTGGTTAGATAA